GCGGGGAGCAGAGCAGGCAGAAGGACCAAAGTACACTGCTGAGGGGAGCAGCGGGCGGCAGGAGAGGTCTGCGCGCCATGTGGGACCCTCCTCTGGTGGCCAGGGAGCAGCCGGGGATCGAACCGGTGCTGCAGAGGCTGCGGGCAGCTTTGCAACCCAGTGCTCAACCGCTGCGCCACAGGAGAGGCCCTACTTTTGTAAGGTTTTTTATTTATGTATAGCAAACTGGGGTACAGGCTAGAGGGGTGAGGGGTGAGAGGATTCACCAGAGACAGAGTGGGGAACAGAACAGGAGGATTGACTCAAATACGCTGCTGAGGGGAGCAGCAGCGAGGCAGGAGAGGTCTGCTGCGCCATGTGGGTCGGCTCCCTGGCTAGCCAGGGATCGAACTCATGTTGCAGTGGCTGCGGATTGCTTCATAGTACTGTCCTTTAACCCCTTCGCCACCAGGGAGGCCCTATAGTTATTTTTTAATTGTTGTACATTAGTTTCATGTGGGTAAAATGTAAGTTATTGAAACACATGGACACTGTTTACTTGTCTCTGTGGAAAACACCACATCTTGTACTTTGTATAACAACCACACAAGGAAGAGAAATTCTTATTTGCATTTTACAAATGAGAAAATCATAGCTAAGAAACATACAAATGGTCACTGATCTTATTGCTTCTAATCTTACACATTTTTTTTTTAAAGATTTATTTATTTATTTATTTATTTATTTATGCAAGCACTGGGTACAGTCAGAAGCACAGGAGGGTGAGAGAATTCACCAGAGGCAGAGTGGGGAACAGAACAGGCAGACTGACGAAGTACACTGCTGAGGGGAGCAGCAGGCGAGGACAGGAGAGTTTTGTCGCGCCATGTGGGACACTTGCCGGCGGCCGGGAATCGAACCAGTGCTACAGAGGCTTTGGGCAGCTTCGCAGCTCAGCGCTCAACCGCTGCGCCACCAGGGGAGGCCCTAATCTTACACATTTCACTGAACTATCTGACACTCCTTTCTTCTTTTTCTGACTTCTTAAAATGATAGGTTATTAAATAAAAACATATGTGACTCTAAGTCACTTAATAGATCAAAAGTACCTGGCCAGGGAGATTAAATATAACTTTGAAATTTAAGAAGAAAAGATGATTCTACATTTATATTTATAAATGGATCTCTTCAAGTAGCATGGTTTATTACAAATTTTGGTCTTTTGAGGAAAATAGGGCAAAATGGAATTTCAAAGAAACACCTTCCAATACAGGATACTTCAAATTGCCAGAGAAAACATAATGAGCATTGCAGATGTCTGTTCCTGGGACAGATGGATTCGCTTGAATAGGTCGAAACCTTCTATGAAACAACTCTTGGAGCTCATCGAGAGTCATTAAGCAGCGATGCAGCTTTTATGACTGTGAACTCTGAGAAGAGAAAAGCACCCAAGGGGATTGCTGAATCCTGGCCTTTTCCATGAAGACATTTTCCAGTTTTCTGTGGAATTGGATGGAAGCCAAGCAGAAAGTGTTTGTCTAACTGGAATTAAAAATACTGAAATCAGAGTTCTGAGTTGCTGCTCTGACTGGGGCCTGAAAAGCAAATCCTCAGAAGTAGGGAATTACAGAGAAAGCCCCCAAACCTTTAACTGAGTCCGCTGAAGTCATTCCTGAATATGGCAGGTCAGGAGTGTGAAGTCTAGTGGGTTGCAACCTCCGTGAGGCCAGACAGAATGGGCTGCTACTGAAATCAAATACCTGACACTTGGGAGGAACTTAGCCCTGACCTAGGAATAAAGGCCACCGCCTTGGAATGAATACCACACTTTAGAAGACAGAACCACTTCGTAGGAATAATTGCGAAACTAAAGTACCACAAGTCTAAACACTGAAATCCAACATCAAGTAGGTTACAGTGACCTCTAGTCCCAACTTCTCTCCCAAAAGAAAACCTGACCCTTGTTAGAGGAGGAGGTGGATGACATTGAAATAACCTCTAAGCCACCTGTGATGTCACGCATCCACTGACAGCTACCAGGAGAAACAGAACACAGCAACAACTGTTTCAAAAGAAAAACAAAATTAAAGAGCATACAGACAGATGCAGGAGATCCAGATGGTTGTGTTAGACTTAGACCACAATTAACTTGCTTTTAAAGTGGAAATAAAGGGCCCTCCTTGGTGGCACAAGGAGTTAAATCTCAGCACTATGAAGCTATCCACAGCCATTGCAGCAAGTTAGATCCCCGGCCAGGGAGCTGGGCCACATGGTGCAGCAGACCTCTCCTGTCTCACCCGCTGCTCCCCTCAGCAGTGTATTTCAGTACATCTGCCTGTTCTGCACCCCACTCTGCATCTGGTGAATCCACTCACCCACCCTCACCTCTGGCCTACATCCCAGCTCTTATATAAAAAGTAAATCTTAAAATCTTACAGAAAAAATTCTTAAAATCTTGAATAAAAAGTAAATCTTTTAAAAAAATTAAATGGATATAAAGATGGGGGATTTCATCAGAAAAGAAGAATCTGAATTGAAATTTTACAATTGAGAAATTACTCTATCAGACAGTAAGAAAATAATGTATGGATTTAAGAGAGAATTAGAAATGACAGAACAGGTGATCAGTGAGACAGGTCAGTGCAAAATACCCAGACTGCGAGACATGAAAAAAGACCAAAAATAATAATAAGACATGAGACCATCCCCTTCCCCATCCCTCAGCTGATAATCAACCTCATTGGGGGCATGTTAGTGAGAGTTTGTCCTTTTTCTTCTTTTCTGATGTTTCACTATGTTTACAGGAGACACACAGTTCCACTCACCCTGACTTCATCATTCACCTGCTATCTGCCTGGAGGAAATTTCCACTCTGCCATCAACCCATTCTGCAATGTCAACTGAAGCTTGCAAGGGTTGGGTGTGACCCTTGCACACATTGTGTAGATGCCACTCAGCATCAACACCTGTGGGCATCTGCATGAGACCCAACGGGCTGATCTGCAGGCAGAGCCACTGAAGTCATGTGTGAGGCCTGGACAGACCAGGGCAGCAGCCTCTCCCCCTGGAGGACTTGTGAAGATATGGGGTTCAGCCCTGGGCTTAGAGTTTCTTTTCTTTTTTAAGATTTATTTTATTTTTTATGCATACAAGAATTGGGGTGTAGGCCAGAGGTGGGAGAGGTGACAGCATTCACCAGAAACAGAGTAGGTAGCAGAACAGGTGGGTCTACTGAAATATACTGCTGAGGGGAGCAGTGGGGAGACAGGAGAGGTCTGCTGTGCCATGTGGGCAGCTCCCTGGCTGGGGATTGAAATTGTGCTGCAGAGGCTGCAAATAGCTTCATAGTGCTGTGTTTAACCCCTTGCGTCACAGGGAAGTCCTGAGCCCAGAGTTTCTGACTCAATTTGTGTGCTCTGTCCCGAAGTCCCCAGGGGATACTGATTCCGAGGCCACACCTGGATAAAGTGGTCTCACAAGGACTGTGGAATGTGGAGGTGGCTTATCCCATGCAATCACTATGATTTCCCTCCTCACTTGAAAAGGCTAGCAGTTGTCCTTAGTTTTGGAGCTAGCAAACTAAATGACAGATTAAACATTATTTAGCATAGTGCCAAGCCTCAGTAGTGGCTCCAACATGCTTCAAGTCCAGGCAGTGTGCCAGGGTTACCTCATGAGTGGGATAAACAGCTGAATGGACACATTTAAGACAATTGAAATATTTCTGAGAACTTTGAGCCAAGCTCTGTAGCAGGGACCTCAAAAGTGCCAGATACTGTGTGGCCTTAGGGACACCAGGGACAAGGTGCAGACCACACCTTTGAGCTATTGCTGGGAGTCCCACTAGTCAAGCCTCACACAATGGATGGATCCAGATCAGCTATGGGGGGTAAGGGGCAAGCAATGGCTAATTATCATGGGGTCTAAGAATATGAGAACTTTTGATAGTAAGGTTGTATGACATAGTGTCCAGAAGGACAGATTATAATATGGAAAACTTAAGCCCTAACCCACTGCATTCTACTCTATTTGCAGAAAGAACACACAGATAGGGGCCTCCCTGGTGGCACAAGGGGTTAAGACACAGCACTATGAAACTATCTGCAGCCTCTGCAGCAAGAGTTTGATCCCCAGGTGGCCAGGGAGCAACCCACATGGTTCAGCAGACCTCTCGTCTCCCCGCGTCTCCCCTCTGACAAGTGAAGCCCCAGGGTGGCAGAGATCCTCTTGAGAAGTACAGGCTGATATTGGCACTTATGTTGTTCATATAATTAATCCCTGCCATTCTTGATTCCGAGACCTCCCCACACACCAATACTTGAGGACGCCAAACTCCATTATGCACACTCTGAAAAACTTGGTAAAATTGGCTAATGCGAGAAAGCCTCCTCACAGATCAGTGTTCTGGAGGACTTGCGTATGGAGGCCCGAGACCTGCGAGGTTCCCACCAGACTCTAAGCTGTGCTGACTTAGCCAAGAGCAGGGGTGGACTCAGGAAGCAACTTGGCAGCCAGCCTGGGGATTGGTGCTGCCCCCGCCTGCCTCCGCCTGGTGTGACAATGAAACCCTGGTCATAAATAGAAAGAAGAGAGCCTCCCTGGTGGCACAGTGGGTTGAGCGCTGCTCTGTGAAGCTGTCCACAGCCTCTGCAGTGTGGGTTTGATCCCTGCTGGCTGGCAGACCTCTCCTGTCATGGCAGACCTCTCCTGTCGTGCCCGCTGCTCCCCTCAGCAACGTATTTCAGTCCGTCTGCCTGTTCTGCTCCCTGCTCTATCTCTGGTGAGTCCACTCACCCTCCCGCACATCTGGCCTGTACCGCAGCTCTTGTATAAAAATAAATAAATCTTTAAAAAAACAAATCCTTAAAGAAATAAATAAATAGAAGGAAGACACAGACACACACAGCAGTAGGCATTATCGTGGGTGTTCACGAGTAAGTGATACAGAGACTCAACCAAGATGCACCAATGGTGCTGGGGTCTGCGTGGACCTCGTGTTGAAGCTGGCCCTGGAGACATACCTAGAAGGATGCAACAATTCTGTGCAGGCAAAGACGGGGTGGGAAGCTTCCAGACTGAAGGAGCAGTGGGGCCCTGATAATTCCATTGGAAGGGAGAGATGCTACCTGGGAAGGCAGACCTTGCGCCTCTGAGCTTTGTTCCTCTTCTCCATGAAAATCAGGAGTTGTAACAAGGTCAGAAGCAGGGGTAAGGGTCCAAACTTGAGATGTCCTCTGCTGGCATTAGTAAGATGGAAGTTTCAGTTCAGAACCCAATAACCATCTTTTTTTTTAAAAAAAAAAACAACTTTTTTTATTTGCTTAAAAGAATGGGGGTACAGGCCAGAGGTGTGGGGGGTGAGACAACTCACCAGAGACAGAGTGGGGAACAGAACAGGCAGACTAAGTGAAATACACCGCTGAGGAGAGCGGCAGGCCAGCCAGGTCTACTGCACCATGTGGGTTGATCCCTGGCCTGGAATTGAACCCAGGCCATGGTGATAGCGCTGAGACCCAACCCCTAGGCAAGCAGGAAGGCCCCCAATATCCTTCATCTTTATTCTGCCACTGGTGACCACTCTTAATAGGCTACTGGGATTCCCTTTGTGCTCTAGTGAACACCCCGTCTATTTGGGCATTCTGCGGCCCTGGACACCACTCACCATCCCTGCTTCTCTGGAACACTCTTCCCTCCCGGGGTCTTCCATTCTGCTTCTCGATTCACTGACTTCTGTTTCTCCAGCCCCTCTGCCTGCTCCTCCCACTGAATCCTCCCAAGCCCACCCTCCCCAGTCCTTGGTCACTCCTCCTGATAGTCTGTGAGTCTCTACAACTGACCGCTTACACCCCACACCCAAGGTTAACTCCCACACCCAAGCCACTAGCTCAGCCACCATCTTCTAACTCCTGACTAATTCCTAGATATTTCTACAACATTTCCACATCGTCACGCCAACATCCCTGGTCATCTCACCTGCTGTTATTTCCTTCTTCGGGGATAACAGCTCCTTCGGCCCAGATGCTCAGGCACAGGACATATTAGCCCTGGGAAGACCTTAGTTTCTCCCTCTGCCTGGCCTCCAGGCCCGAGCCCACATCTCCACCTGCCCAGAGGGGAGATGCCCCCCGGCCACCCCTCCTTTCTGATGTCATGGTCATGCCCTCCCCATCATAGGCCCAGCTCTCCCAGCAGTGAGTTTGTCTCTGCTCTCCCCTCTGCAGCAGCTTCTCTCATCTGCCTTCACTCTTCTCTCTTAAATAACACTACTTACAACTGAATAATGAACACTTTCTGGACCTCCTCTGGAGGGGGTCACTTAAGGGCAAGGCTTGCCCCAGCACTGAAAATGTTGCAGTTTGGGAATAATGCCATTCTCCCAGCCTCTCAGAAAGTGGGCCCTGGCAGGCCACTCACTGTGCATTTTCTTGACCTAGAAATGGGGTTTTCTCTCCCTGCTGACCAGCGCCTGGGCCTGCAGTTTCCTGAAAAGCCATTCTGTCCTCACTGGGATGGCTTATGGAGAGCTGCCTTCTCAGACATTCCTGCAGGGGCTAAATGGCCTTGCTAATTTACCTGTAGTTGTGCATTCAATAGCATGAGGTGGGGCTGTGAACTTGGGAAAGAAGCCTCGCTCAGCCCACTCACCAAGACAGTGGACTCTGAGCAGGAGTGAATGCATTCTGGTCCCTCTGACTGGCCATGTCGCCACGCCACCCAGTGGATGATGAATCAGAGCAGCTCATCAAAATATAAATCCCAAGTAGTTCTCACTTAGAACCAAGATGCAGATTTCTAACTAGCCCCAAAGTTGATTCTAACACAACCAGCAGAAATCATTTGGGAATCAGCGCTCCAAGCCACTTCACATACACAAGCTCTTAATTCACAAAGACACCTGTCGCTCAAACTGTGGGGGGGGGGTGGAGGGGAGGGTTGGGGGGGGCAGAATCATCGTCTTCTAGCACCAAGACCAGGGCCTCCACAGACACTGAACTGGCATTGTCGCCCCAGCCACAGATCATTAGCCAGTGTTTGAATCACACCAGCACAAATTGACATTTCTGTAGGTCAGGGATATTTTGGGCCTCCAGTTTTGAGACACGCCAGGCCATGCCCGGAGTGCCCAGCAGGTGGAGACCCGTCCCCACAAAAGGGCAGTGGGGACACTTGGTGGCCGCAGCCACAGGGTGGCAGCCTTGCTTGAAGTTGCGAGGTAAAGCCTGTTTCACAGAAAAGCCCATCCCCACAGACTGAAAGCAAGCATTACCTTCTCTGGACGCCACAGGTGACTCTTCTAGAGGCTGCCTCTTCCCGGGGGTTGGCATTATTTCAGGCCAAACAGCATCTCACCTGCCGGGTTTGTACCTGGAATGTAGACCAGAAAGCATGGCTTTCATATGACATGAAAAGTCTGCATGAGCTGACAGCACAATACATCTTCATCAATCATCCGTGGCTTAAGGTGCTGGCTAGAAGCAGGTTTTGTAGTATTTGTCAGGCCCAGGTGTGGAAAATCCACCCCCCAGGCACAGCCACGCGCAGGCCACGGGGCAAGTCAGCTCCACGCAGGGTTTCCCAGATCTGGATATTTTTATGTGGGAGTCTCCCAATTCTCCAAGATTGGCAACTAATTCAAATAATTTACAGCAGGAAAAACAAAACACAATGGGAGCCAAGTTCAACCTTCGCCTGCCAGCCTGGAGCTCCCGTGTTCCTGGAAAACCCAGGAGGCCCGAGGGAGGCCCCAGGGGGTCAGGGCACCCCGAGGGCCCGGGACCACCGCAGCAGATCCCGTGGGGTCTCCTGGGGCTGAAGATGTTCAAATAACCCCCAGAACACTTGTCACTGGAAGAGAAGGCTGATTTTTATTATTTTCTTCAAAGAAAGTCCCCCAAGCAAGCGTTCATTATTTGAAGCTTTAAATAGTCCTAAAACTGCTCTCTTAAATTGTTTTCTTTGGCTTTTTTTGGCAGGGAAATTATGCTTCTCCTTGTGCCATAGAAATATTTTCATAAATAGCAATTGCCATAATATTCCTGTGACTCATTATTTTTGCCTGTATTGGAAATTTGTTTTTTTCACTGATTTTGAGGCAGCTCCGTAAGTCATAAACAGTAGCAAATCAGTAGCAAATCAGATGCGTCCGTCCAGGGTCATGGAAACATCTTTTCTGTGCATATCAAAACAGATGAAGAGGAGATAAATATGCAAATGTTTAATCTAAGTATTCATAGTTTAGCTTACCGAAAATGGATTTGTAATCCACATTTTTCAAATGATTATGTCTTTTGATGCATTGACGGATCCATCCTTTGGCTTCCTCCTCTTCCAAAGTTGACACCCACTATAGGGAGCAAACCTGTGTTCAAATTGTTGATTGACTTCTGACCTGAGATGACAGGTGATGTCCTAATCTTGTTCTTTAATTGAAGTGTTTCTGGTTTCTCACAATTGAGCATCAGGCTGGCTTATAAGCATCAGGCTGGGTTGTGAGGCTGAGTGTTTTTACTCTTTTTAGGAAGTATTCACCTTTTTCTATTCCAATAATCAAGTGATTTTATCTCAAATCATGAATCTAGTGCCATCTCCACGTCTCTCAGATGTTGACATTTTGACCTTATCTTGTGGTTAATTATGTTAATCAATTTCCTATTAAGTGTGCCCCCTTAAACCCTGCCATGAACTTGCCTATAGCAAATGTTTCTTATAATGATCTACACAAGTCTCTTTCAGGATGGGGGTTTGGTCTGTGGTTTTCTGCAAGATTTGGTTTCAATATTATGCTGGTCTTACAAAAATGATTTTGAATTTTTTTTTTTTCATTTTTCTGTGAAATATTTAAAATAACCTCGGGGCCTCCCTGGTGGTGCGGGGGTTAAGACGCAACTTATGAAGCAATCCACAGCCACTGCAGCATGAGTTCGATTCCCAGCCGGCCAGGGAGAAACCCACATGGTGGGACAGACCTCTCCTGTCTCGCCCGCTGCTCCTCTCAGCAGCGTACTTCAGTATATCTGCCTGTTTTGTTCTCCATTCTGTCTCTGTTGAATGCGCTCACCCTCCGCATCTCTGGCCTGTACCCCAATTCTTGTATAAAAAATAAATAAATCTTTAACAAAAAACATAAAATAAAATAACCTCAGCACTATATATATATATATATTTTTTTTTTTTTTGATATATGAAAGAAATGTATTGTCATTGGCCCTGGTACCTTTTGGGATGAGGTTCTTTGGCAACTTTCATATTTTAAATTTGTTTTTATTTTATGTTAGAGTCTAGCCACTTTCCAATTCCATAATTCAAATATGTGGGCAGGATTTGAAAAATGCCACTTAAATCTCCAGCTCTTCTTGAGTCAATTTTAGGAAAGTAGCTATGTATTTGAAACATGTGCATCTACGTTTATATTGTATGTTATGTCTATATATGTGTCTCTGTTTAGTTTGTTGCTTTTTTTCCTTGCATACCACTGAATCTATGTGCTGGCATTTTGTGCTGATCCTGTTCTGAATTAGATTTGTCAGTGGTTGATGTAGTTCTAAAGATAGAACCAGCTCTGGGGTTGATTTATTATTATTTTTTTAAGTTTTCTTATTCTTCGAAATTGATGAATTTCTCTTTATTCCTATTAAAATTTCCCTTCTGCTTTCCTTGTGTTAATTTTTTTTCCTTGTGTTAATTTCCTTGTGTTAATTTTGTCTTTTTCTTTTTGAGTTGGATATTTACTTTTGAGTTCATACCTTTTCATTTTATTTAGCACTATAAATGTTTACTGTGAATCATAGTCTGGAGTTATCGGTTTTGTTATTAGTATTTTATAATTTGTGGTTTAAATAGTTGTTTTTTTAAAACTTGAAATAAAATTCAAGCTTTATAATTGCTTTTCAAAAAAAGTATATTCAGATTTTAAGAAATTTTTTACTATATTTCTATGTTAACTACAGAATTCTCTAGTGCTACTCTTCAAAATTTGTATTGCCTATTATGGTTAATTTTTGTTACATTTCCATGAATATGTAGAAAAAAGCAACATATTTTCTGTTTGCTTTGCCCTATTTTATTGTGTTATCTAGATCCTCAAAAGCCATTGTTGATTTTTTTTCTGTTTATCTGTTTTTATTTATCTCTCATAGACTTTACTTCAGGTATTGTGCTGTTTTATGATTTGGTCCATAAAGATTTATGCTCAGCACAGCTGCAGTATATATTACAAATCTTATCATTATAAAATATACTTACATTTTTACATTTATCATTTGAGAATAAAATTGGGATCCTTTCTTTTGTTCTGTTTCTGCCCATGATGGCTGGGATCTTAGCTGGAAGGTTTAAGCTTGAGGCCTGGAATCACCTTAAACATGACTGGGATGGGGGAATTCACTCCCAAGGTAGGTTGGGGATTGTGGGTTCTTTCCTCTGCAAAGGACTGTTGGGGTGTCCTTGCAGGTTTCCACTGACTCCCCCAGAGCAAGAGACACAAGAAACCACATCAGAAGCTGAAATATCCTTGATGACCCAGCCTTGGAAGTCCCACAGTTCCACTGAACGAGAAGCCTCCCTACAATGTCCAGAACAGGCCTTCCCGAGATGCATCACTTGGGCATGTGGGTTATTTCAAGCTGAGGTCAATCAAGGCCTTGTGAGCTCAAGAAAAAAACTATCACCACTTCTTTGACTACCTAGAAGGGATTTACCCAACATTACCCAGAAGTAACCTTTCTGTCAGAGCAACCACCTATATTGCAGGGCAGACACCAATTAAATAGCATCTGGTCTGTTCATCATGTGAGTTTCCTCCTCTCTCCCCTTGTAGGCCAGACCCTTATACCATTCTTTAGTTCAGGATAAAAACTCTCATTCAGTCCCATTTATTTAGATTTATTTATTTATGCAGACAAGAACTGGGGTGCAGGCCAGAGATGGGGGGGGGGCGGTGAGAGGATTCACCAGAGACAGAGTGGGGAACAGAACAGGCAGACTGACTGGAATACACTGCTGAGGGGAGCAGCAGGCAAGTCAGGAGAGGTCTGCTGCGCCATGTGAGTCAGCTCCCAGGCCAGGCATCGAACTCGTGCTGCAGTGGCTGCAGACAGCTCCATAGGCTTCATC